GTTGTTGGAGTGGCAGTTAGTGCAGATGGCGAGTGTAAAAAGAGGTTATTCAAACGTAATGTCCAATATTTACGAGCCTTTTAGAGATACAGGAGGACCGAACTCTAGACCGAGCTCTTTTTTTGTGGTCAAGGCACACAATTCTGATTGGGCAATTCTAGTGATAGTTATGGCAATTTTTCTTTTACAAATAAAAGAGAGAACGTGGGGTAAGGGTGAGATGGGAGGATAGGGAGGAAGGAGGAAGGAGGAAGGGTCAGGGCACACAAGGACAGTCAACAGAAGTTAATCTTGTACAAACATCACGACGAAAGAAAAAACAAGGAGATCTAGAACCGAATGCAATGCTCAAAAAACAAAACAAAACAAAGGTTGAATCAAAAGCAAGGCGAACATTTTGGGATTCGTAAATTTAAAAAAACAACCAACAACACCCTCACACAGATTTGAAATGCAACAGATGTAAGAGTAAGGAAAAGACAGAACACAACTCTGGATGCAGGATTAGAAAAGGTACCACACACGGAAATAAAAGTGTTGGTGGTAGAGCATGAAAAGTAAAATGCAATCAAACAAAGAAACACTTAGAAATAAGAAATGTGGGATACCGAATGAAAGAAAAACAAGCTAAAAAAAAGTCCACTAAAAATAGCTCATGGGCATTTTAAGACAGAAACAAACAGAACTCGAGTAGTTAGTGTTTTCATGGATACCACACATTTTACGTACGCGCACTCGCATGCCTTCACACAATTTGAGAACTCACGCAAAAAATTTACTAGTGAGTTCAGTAAAAATTCGAAAACACAACGGTCAGAATTACGGACACTTGTGAAACCCAAAGGTTGTGCTTGGGGCACGTGATGATTGGGGTTATATAAGTCTTGAACACATCATTATCAATTATTACGTTTTCAGTGTATATTATTATACATGTATGTATTTGCATGCATGGTTTTTTTTCTCCATGAATTAAAAATAGAATACATCATTATGTATGTCTACATAGGAAGCAACACTAACGGTCCATCAGGGATCGAGTGGGTCGGTATAGGAGGGTGCACATTTACCCAACCTGTCGGGTGGGTATGATCGGAACCGGAAATAGAATCGTAAAGGCTAGTTTAGTTTTAGTTTTAGTAAGAGTTTTACTCGCAACATAAATACGTCGTATAAGCGCCGAAGATTAGAGGTGTTCCTAGAGAGTAACATACAGACAAAAGAAGGAGGAGAGATAAATAATTACGGACGATAGATGTTTGATGGGGAAAATCATTAATCCAAACGAATATTACAAAAAAAAATTCTTTTTTTCTTTTGGTATTTTAAATTTGTTATTAAAAGAAACAAACTCTTTGTACACCATACACAGTTCAACAACATACACATACTAATAATAATGTGTTGTGAAGAAAGACAGGCACGTATCAGCGCCGGGTACACGAGTATTACAAGGCAATTACTTAACAAACTGACTTCTTCCTTCGATCCACCCTCCAAATAACAACAACAACAACAAAACCCCTCAAAAAACAAAAACAATCCCCCCCCCTAAAAAAATAAAAAAATAACCCAAACAAAAACACCCAGCTCATCATACACCAGTACCATATATAATGCCCCCCTTCTTTAAAAAATCCTTTTTTTTTCACTCAGTCCTTTTTTTCTCCTTTTTTCAAATGCAAATGTTCACAGAATATGTTATACGTTAAGAAGATGTGCTGATAAAACACCTCATAAAGTCAGTTACCGCAAACCAGACAGCACATTTCTCGAGGTATTTATATATATATCAACTGCAGATAAATATAAAGTCTAAAGATAGCATCAGCGGGCCCAAAACAGCCACAGAATGGGAGAGAAGTCGTGTGGCTTGATCATCCAGTTCCTCGTCTCATATTATTCTATTTGCGTTAAAAGTGCGCCCTACTACAGATTTTCCCTTACCTCTCTCCTTACCACCGGCATCGCTCTCTCTCTCTCTCTCTCTCTCTGTCTGTCTGTCTGTCTGTCTGTCTGTCTCTATGTATATATATCTCTCTCTCCCTTTCTTTCTATCCCCCCCCCTCTCTCTCTCCTCTCTCTCTCTCCCTCTTTCTCTCGTCCTATCCCCCCCCCCCTCCTACACACATAAATCCTTCCCACTTGCATCCCTCTCCTCTTCGTTGCCAGCGTTTCAGTGATGTGCTTCTTTCCAACATAAACAATGCTATTTATAAGAAAGATTCACCACACACCTCAGCCCGCCTAACATTTAATGAAAGGGCGGTCGAGAGCTTTAGGAACTCAACTAACAGAAAAGGCACTAAAACGCCGCCCATACATGGATTTGAACCAGGGTCTTTACGTTAAGTTTACATGTGGATGTAGTGCAACGAAAATATTCACCCAGGCTCCCCTTTCATCTTTTTCAAATATAACCGCAACAAACCACACATACGTACCCCCTTTTAAAAAATGTGTGTCAATTCTGCTGCGCAGAGAAAGACCGTTCTTTAAAAAAAACAACAACAGCAAAACAAAACAAAACAACCCACACACAATCACCGCTAGTATAACAATAAAACGCCCACTGAATGATCTGCTAATAAAAGTCGAATGTGATATTGAAAGACTGCGTTTGTTCGACAGGGCTATGAGAGATTGAATCACACGTCCTTAACGCTCTTTTTCAAATGTGTAAATTTATCTAAACGTCTTTTGCCTTGCCCTAAAATCAAACAAAAGAAGACACACACAAACACACACACTTATATATACACACATATTTCTTATCAAGTATTGCGCACAGATTTTGATGCATTGTCTTTGCACTGATGAGCATGGGCGTGCATCTTTAATTAAAGAACCACTGGTCTCTGTGTTGTTGTAGCGGTTAAGCGCTTCGCTGTCGCGAGAAGTAGACCTGAGTTCAATTCCCGAATGGGGAGAACATTTTAATCGAGTAACTCGGTCTTTCTGCTCATCCCGGGTTGGCCCTGACAGTCAAAGTCCGAAGCCCGACTAGTAATTCCTAAATGGTTGAAATTGTGTCAATTTCTTT